GGAATGATACAATGTTTAACCCTGGATACTGGCATATTTGACGTTGGCTTAGAAAAGGAGCACATGAATTTGAACGAAATTGGACACGATAATTACCCTTGAGAAAACATAGACCATTTTAATGTGGACATGGCCGGAGCCGATTTAGACCCCGAACAAGAACAAACATTAAAAAAATTCTTAAATGCGAATGGAGACGTATTTGCAGAAATTGCCGGCCATATGGGCTACACGAAAGTGATTCAACAAAAAATTAGACTAATTGTGAACCCTGACCCCATTAGTTGCAGACCATACAGGGTCACTCCTCAAAAAGGGGAGAAATAGAGAGACAAATTGATGACATGCTAAACGAAAATATAATTTCCCCTTCGGTGTCAGAATGGTGTTTTCCAGTTGTTCTGGTCACGAAACCAAGGGGCGCTTATAGATTTTATGTAGACTACAGGAAATTGAATGCAATATCGAAGTTAGATCCTTATCCACTGTCACTAATCGTAGATTGTTTTGATTCATTAGAGATAGCCAAACCAAATTATTTCTCGACCCTTGATCTAAAAAGTGGATATTTTCAACCAGACCTACACCCAGACAGCCCAGAACTGACAACGTTCACCACTCACGATGGAAACTACCAATTTAACCGATGTCCCATGGGAGTCGCTGGGAGCGGACACTCCTTCCAACGACTTGTGAATATTGTGCTTAGGGGGTTAAATTGGAAAAGCTGCTTAGTTTATTTAGACGACATAATCGTATTTTCGAATACTTTTGAGAAACATTTCAGAGATTTAGGTCAATTATTTCGAAGGCTAAGAGAAGCAAATTTAAAATTAAAATTGGCCAAGTGTAAGTTTGTCTGTAAGGAAGTAAAATATTTAGGTCATATAATAAACAGACGGTATTAGGGCAGACCCTGATAAATTTGGGCCATAAAAGATTTTCCAATTCCACATGACGTAAGAAGTTTAAGAGGATTCTTAGGAATTTGTAGTTATTATAAGAAGTTGGTAGTCAAATTTTGCTAAAATAGCAAGGCATTTAAATGCGATGACGAGTAAGAACGTAACATTTAATTGGACGGAAGAATGTCACAGGGCATTCGAACAGTTGAAGGAAGCATTAACGAATCCACCCTTATTAGCATATCCCGATTTTGAGAAATCATTTATATTAAGTTGTGACGCTTCTGGGCAAGCATCGCGTTTTAGAACAATTTCACAACGAAGTGACGACAGGCCATTTTGGGTTTGCAAAGACCTATTCTTCAATCAGGCAGCGCTATATTACACATTGTTAGTGGCATTGTCTGAAATTTATACTGAAATTCCACGTGAAATAATCAAAGATATGCAAAGATAGGGAACCAAGTAGTGAATATTTGGTGAACAGGTAATGTGCTGGTAACCTCTGCCTGGAAGAGTAGGATATTTAGATTTATAACCCTTGATTTTTGTGACTCTAATTATTGTATTTAATCAGTGTGTTTTACTCGTTTGAAATTATATCTTTTATTAATTTGTATTTTATCTGCATGGCGAGTGTGGAGTGAATACCGATGTGTTTGATTTATTAACGTGTATAATTCTAGTGTGGGGGGAGGGAAGTGTAATGATTTATATGTTCATGTCTGTAGGTGAGGTTGCTTTTAGTGGCCATAGCGACTTTCAATGACGACCCCTGGATAATCCGCATCTGCTTACAATTTGTCATGATAACGATCATTTGCATGTTAGTGAGATTAGAAAGAAGACAACTGGCGAATATAATTGTAGAATACGGAATGTTGGTTAAGACAGCGAGGCGCCTATAACTATGAGAATTATGTCCCGACATCGGGGCAATTAATCAGACATTAAGGCGTGTTAAATACTTTGTGTGATTGGCTATATGTGAATTGAATGTGTGGAGGCTACGCCTCAAGCTCAAAAACTTCTATGTAATTGGTTAACAGTTGGAATGTGAATATAACCGATCTCAGTTAGTGGTGGCAAGCTCTGGACGAGGCCCAAGTCTTAATGCGGCTGGGGGAGAGTTACAACGCGGCTGAGACCCAATGTGACACAATTCGATTCTCTGTGTGTCTTTGTTCGATTGAAAAGGTGGCGAATCCTCCGATCACTGGTACCTGACTTGAAGGCTTGATAACGCGACAATTAAGTCGTGACACATATGTATATTTGGTATGTGCAAAGAAACCATGTGACCAATGCATATAGGTGCGAATGTCTGAGTCAATTGTCAAGTCAAATGCCGAGGGTTTGTTTTGAGAATTTATCCAGATATACCGACAGGCAATGCCAAGTTGAGGATTGATGTGACGGTGTGCCAAGGTCATTATTCAACATTAACAGTGAATATGAAAACGACTAATGCAGTAAACCACAGAAGTAAAATGGGAATTTACAAGAGAGACGAGATCACACCTAAGGATATCATTAATTAATTTAAACATACACACCTAGTATTTTTTTCGTGTTTAAAGTGGTAAGGATTTTACTATTTGAATATGTGCAATGGTAAGTTCCATCGTTATTGGTAATTCCCGCTTCAGTTTGTTGTTGAGGGTACACGTTTGTTAAGTGTTTAAAATGTGTTATTTTATTTGCTATGCGATCAACTCTGTAATATTATACTGGTTTCTCTCCCTGCTTGATGAAAAGTCAGATGCTTTATAGTACGTCATTTTCATAAGATTTTATATCAATTAGTATTTTTATCAAAAAATAATTATTGAATTCAATTTATGAAGGTGTGTTGCAATATTGAGTGTGTATAAAGGATATTTCTCTGAAGCAGGGAGAAAAACATCCGCGTTCAAGTATTCGGATGTAAGGGTTCAATATTACGTTGCTTGCACTTTAAATAAAAAATATTTATTTATATAGATCATATTACATTTTATGTATTCCGTAAAACAAACAAAGATTGGAACATTCACAGAAAAAAGTTAACAATGTTGGCACCCATGCATGGTATCCTTTCTGGTTGTTGTGTTTGAACGAACACAAACATGATTAAATTTGTAAACATTTACAAAACAATTACCTTTATTGACAAATTCTATTAATACACCATTTATTGGAATCATTGTTAGCCATTGTCCTCATTCCACTGCTACAATCTTCACATTAAGTTAAAATGTTCGCTACCTCAAGTTAAATTTATGAAAAATTCTTTTTCAACTTTCAAAATTCAACCTTTTTCCGCAACGACAACTCAAAGCTGAACAGACGCTATTTATATTTAATATCGTAGTTTTTGCAAATGTATTTACTCGCACATGTTTTCCCTAGAGTAAGGTCCAAGTGATAATACAGACTTAACCATTACCCTGGAAGCTAACGTATGGTAAGAGCACTACTTCCGAAAATTAAAGAATGATACACAATAAGTATTACAAAACTAGCTTTATTACACTAGTCCAGAAATGTTGCACTTAACAGCAATGTCAGTAATTAAGGAATAATACATATTAAAAGCACACACCAAATCTAAATATATATGGCAGTTGGACAATTCATCAAATGCAACTATAAAATGACGGTCGTGTCCTGCATAATTTAATTAACATTCAATTAACAACAATTATCTGGCGAGTAAATGTATATATTTAACTAAATGCAGGGTTCAACATAACAGTCAACTCAGAAACAATGTTACTTGATTGTCACGATAAGTTTCTATGCTAGTGTCAGTCCTCTTGGTAAGGCGAGGATCCAGCTTGTCGAGTTATACATGTGTTGTACTCACAGTTCAAGAAGATGCGTCTTCACTGGAGAGCGATAAGCCGAATTCAATGATCGGTGCGGTTCACTTTCAGTATTTCACAAGGAAGGACAGTATAGCTACGTCGTCAGTGCGAACACAAAATCAGCACACGAATCCTGTTCCCAAACTCGCACAACAATAGCAAGACCAGTTACCACGCATATGACAGCTACTTTTTATTCTCTATAACAACTCTGATACTAAGACAAATCAGACCCCACAGGTCGATCATAATTCAGTCACTCACATAACGTCGCAACTCTCCAGCTTGGAAATAATTTAATACATATACACAACAGTTCATAAATAGCCCACCGCCGTCATTCATAATCTAAACAAAATTACATTCAATCATTTTCAATATTTTAACTCAAGTAATTTACTTCTAAATTCCCAAAACACACAGAATCAGTATTTCACGACGCCCTCATCTGCAAACGTTATTTAACTTCCCGTCCACAATTCAAATTAATTCTATTATATACTATTTGAAATTAACCTTCCCCTATACAAATATTACAAATCGTCACTTTTCCACATTTTCTTACTTCGGCTTAACATCTGTTACGCAGAATAACCACAAGGTGCGATCAGTATTATTCCACGCAGGTATGCCTGTCATGCAAGAAGACAACAGGGAGGGCAGTCTTCACAATAAACAATGCATCACAGACATTGTAACAATGATGACGAAACCCGTGACCTCAATTGCACATACAGTAATAGTGTGATATAATTTGTCAGCTATATCGTTGAGTACAAGTACGAAATATATGTTCATGCCATACGAAATATTTCTCTTCTTTATTGATCCCACGAGACGAATACAACGCGCGTAAAGATAGTGTCTGCTCATGTGACATCAACACGCTGTTTTTTTAAATATTACAGCGCTGTACTTTCACTCGAATAAAACAGCACCCAATTTTACCTTCCGAATACTGAAGCGGGAATTACAAAGAACGACGAATTTTTTATTGTACACATTCAAATGGTAAATGCCTTACAAATAATTCGTAGATGTGTTGTTTATTAACCAACCTCGGTCTAAACATATCAAAATTGCGCATGCGCAGACAATTTTCATTTTACTTCCGTGTATATAACGACAGAACTTTCCATAATACATACGGGAAATTTCCACTCCACGTCAAACACGTCTATCAATAAAACCGGATAGTTCTCTCATTCTCGGTCAACGTATAGCAACGAATAACACCGACCTCATCATGTTTTCAAATGAGATGGGAGCAAAAATACTATTTACTGTTTTAATCACCTCGACGGTGCTCTGTAACGGCACAGTTCTCGACACTAAGAAGTTGAAGGACGAGCTTTTCGATTTGGCATACAATGGACTTGGTGTACAGAAAATGCAGGTAACATAACATTATACAGAGTATGTCAAACAGCAGAAAATCACCATATACACATACGCGTTTATTTTCATAGACGACAATGGTAGCATTTGGATTATTTTTTTAACATTTTTTTTTTAACTGAGTGTTTATAATCGACCGTTCTCCCGGGGGTACTCATTTTTATTGTGGGTGGTAATGCTCCACAGCCTGTTGAAAAGAGTATTCTAAAAGATAAACGTTGAGGGATCATTTTGACCAACAAACTTGGCGTCCACCAACAAATTTACCAGCACTGGCGCATACCAATGCACATTATCTTTGGAATTACCCCCCCCCACCTGACACAAGAACTGCACCCTTTGTTTACGTATATCATCGTCACCATTCGTTTAAAATGGTTTCAGTTGTCTTGGTGATATTCGAGCTACAGCAATGTCACTTAATACAACAATTTTAGCTAATGGCTAATGAACTTTATTGACTGTAATCGTGCGTCTGCAACCGACGTTTAGTTATCCCAATATTATGCACGTTGCATCGTGTGCAGTACACAAAACTCTTTAATACGTAAAACGATTGGTTGTCCTTTTGTGTTGGTAGTAAGTGTGCCGGTGTCGATTGTATGGTGTGATATGGTCTAGTGCGATTTCTGAAAAAAAGCTCACTGCTTAAGAACCCGGGGGTACTCACATTAAAATTCTATATGTATCTGTGCCGCCAAAAGGGGTCCCACATTAACCACTTCTGTCTGAAAAGGGGTATGTTATTTTACCTTTTTTCATTATTTCTGTCTGGAAAGAGGTCCATACTTTCCAAAGACTGTTTCTAGAGCTTGAGTGATCCAACAATCAGATGAATAAAGCTGATTTTTTTCTTTCTGTAAAGCCCACCTGCTTTTCCCTTGGTACCATTTTTGGATACTGTCCGGAAAGGGGTGTCAAATATCAACAGTTTGTCTGAAAAGGGGTAAGCAATTTGAGTTTATTTCTGTCTGATAAGGGGTAGGGTTTTCAAACAACCAGCTACACACCCCTGTCAGTATTTTTTGCAAGTACCGCCCCCGAGCGTAAGAAGCAATGGGCATTCTGGCGTAAACGTCGACAACTTGTAATGGCCTAATTTGCACAAACAAAATGGCCTCCAAATTCCCAATATTTTGCAACATCTCTGTAAGTAGGCAAGCGAGTATGACAAATGGAATGTCTATACCTATGTTTTCTGGGCCGGAGAAAATTATTAAGACATTTCTAATGAATAAGATTTACATAGTCCTCATAAATATGCCTCATAAATTAGTGGCGGTCATTACAGTTTTTTCTCAATATTTCTATAACAAGGCAAACAAACTTGTCTAATCCATGTTTTCATAGTAAGGGAATTTGATAATAAGAAATAGTCTAGTCTATGATCTCCAAAAGGGGCTTAAAATAGGTGTATGCTCTACCCATTGTAATACTGAATGGAAACCACTTTTTCTGGAGTAAAATGTTATAAACTTTTCAGATTTGGAAGTCTCCAGAGCGGATTATGCCTTAAAAGTCGTCAAATTGCCCAGTTTCTATGGCAACCTAATATTTCCTAGTTAGTATCATTTCTCCTCATAGATATTAATATAATGAATAAAAGTTTACCCAAAACTACTTTGTTATATATCAAATTAAAGATATTTACATGTAGAATACAAATAGCAAGTCGAAAATGACATTGGTGCTGTTGGTTTTTTATATATTAAAATCAAAAGTTTCAATGATTGTTTAAAACCATTATTTTTCTGGTCCCTGAAATCAATATAAACATTTAATAAACCACTACCATGTATTAAAAAGGAATAATATGATCTAGATTGCGAAAATGAAATGAGATTATTAAATTAGATTTTAAATTTTAAGGAAGAAATGAAAATGATTCTCGATATATATTTTCCGATTATTTCATTTCGCGTATAAAGTGACGGTAACTTGGCACCATAAACATTTATATTGGTCAGTTTTGTGCAAGATTTGAAACAATGAAGTTGCGATTTAGGTAATTTACAGCCGTCATATTGATTTTTAACTTTACAGTACGCAAACTACAAATAGTTCGATACGCGCGAATGACGTATTTGCAGCGCCCTCACACAGCAAAATAAAACGACCGAGCAAACTCGGAAAATGACAGTCATATTGATAACAGCTACTGATAATTAATACAATCAGCCATGATATTCATACCATGTACGAAACTTCTTTGTTTATACAAATAGCTAGTATGTACATTTCAACCCAATTGAGGTAAACTGCTGTTAGCATATACAAGAAACATGATACAACCAATTAATTATGCATATTAACCTATCAGTCAGGGAACTACATAATCAGTCCTCGCATACCAAATTTTAAACTGTTGGACTATATAACATAGCACAGTTAAGCTTTGAAAATGTCTTTTCTTGACATGACTGTGTAGTGTACGATGTAGACGATCTTTTAAATGCATCAGAACAAGACCCAAACTTCAAAACAAAGACAACATTAGCTCGTATAAAAAAAATGAAGGAAACAAACCAGTGTTGATTGATAATTAAAAATAATTGACAATGAAATGCATAAATTATGAGTACATTTCTCGAAAATGATACCAGATATACCGTCAGGAATGGCTTCCTTGCTAGCGTTTATACAAAGCTGGTAGCATTTGGTCGCTCTTTATTGTCGTGTGATTCAATACATTGTCCGTAAATGAGCGACATTTGGGAAATTCTTTGACATCATGGTTGGAAAAAGTAGTTTGAAAAAAGGCATTAAATATATCTGCGATGTCAGCAGATAAAATACTGTACAGTCCACTCGACACAAAGATGTGAAAATTTCATCACAGCGTATCATATTTACAAAACAAACAAACAAGCTGAAAACAATTACTTACTATGCCAATTATTTGGTACTGTATACAGTTTCCATCCATTCAAACGAAATATGATGAAAATATCTGATTAAAATTAAGAAATTAAAAAAAATGTTATCAGACAATCAACTGTGCGAGTGATAAGTAATAAGTTTTAAATCTCTATGATAAACTAAAAAAAAGATATTAGTATGGAAATAAGATAATTAATATATTCACAAGTTAACTAAAAAATAGAAACAATGACCATGACTTTTATTAGTTATTATGTAAATTACCTAATTAATGTAGAAATTTGTACGGAAATATAACAAGGTATTTTGTTCATGGTATTGTGATAGCTACGATATATCTTACATACTAAATGTATTTTTGTCTTGATTTCAGGACCATTTTGATTCATTAAGCTTCCGATCCCTGTCATTGTCTGGCGATGATATCGTTAGCGAGGTATGTATGCATTCGAAACACCACGGGAAAGTGTGGTTTTACAGATATTATACTATGGTCATTGTACTTGCCATTGTTGTTTATGCTGATTCTTATGATAAATAATAATATAATAAGTATAATTGCTACAGATAACTGTAGTGGTAAACTGACATTGTCTTAGCTAACTCTAAGATGTGTTGTGACCCGCCACTGTAAATCCGACCTTGTACCTCAGTGTGTCTGGACTGGAAATAGACACGGACGCGCCCAGGACTCTTCATTGCAGTTTGATTTTGTTTCTCCAATTTGAGAACCTTATATTGTTGTTTTCATCAATAAATAAAGATGGGAAAATAAAGCTGATATGAATTTAAAGCAATAACATACTCTAAATATACATATATATATGATTACTTTTGGTTACTCATTTATTATTTTTACGTGGATGAAATTGTTATTTCTGCTATGCCAAAAACCTTTAACAATGAATAAAAAATCATCGAGAGTTGTGACCATGTCACACAAAATCAGACATGTGTAAATCGAATTAACAGCTTTATATTATCGGATAAAGCCATAAAATTAAAATAATACAACAATGATAATGAATTCAACTAATAAAAAGCGTGATCGAATTTCTCACCTACCTAAATCTGGTCCATTTGTCTGACACCTTCATTGACTTAGGCCTTCAACAATCCAATCAACAATCGTGCAATAATAACATTGACACGTCCGGGCCAGTCCGGTAACCTGGTATTCACACGGCTTTCTGTATCAGTCCTATTCAGACGTCTTTCGATTGCTCAGCATTTAACTACATTACAATACTTAACTCATCGCCCAATCTCAAGCGTTCCCGAGTTCCCCTGTCAGTCATGGTGGCTTATGAAACTCAGTAATTATTTGTATATACCTAATAATACAACCCGGAGATACTTTTTTATGTTTTATTACACAGAAAATAGCGGAAATTCATTTCTGTAATTTATGTTGTAAAGATGAGGTGGGATGTTGTTAAGTCCAGGTTATAATTATCAAGTATAACAAATAATTATTGAGACTTTTGTTATAAATAAAAAAAAACTAATAACAAACAAAGAAACAGACAGACTCCCACCCACACGCACACACCCATACAAACAAACACAAACAGACATGTTTTATTAACATTATATATTATTAGATGGAGCTAGCAATACGACAGAAAGTTTTGTCTACTGTTCAAGCTCTAGAAAATATCCGGGAGGCCGTTGAAAAATCTTTTGAAGAAACAGAAATCAGATTCACTCCTTGTTGTGAAATAGCGGATAACCTGGAATTCAATACGGCGTTTGGTAAATCGGTGAGTATGACATGGTTTTGTTGTTTTACCGTTCTGTGAGAAAGTCACACCATCCAAGAAACAAACAAATAAACCTGTAATTATGCCATGTTCAATAAACACAAATTATCACGATTATGTAATTTAGTAAACATAATTACATTTAACACTAATTAATATATCTCATTGTAGTTGGATACGCGTATTGGCTGTACAAGGATTGCTGACAACGCAGATCCAAATCCAAGGTTCCTTTCAAATGAGGTCATTGATGTCATGAAGGAGAATTCTGATTCATTTTCAAATCTTAAATGGCAATATTTCGGTAGCGAAGAGGGTGTATTTACAATTTATCCCGCTTCTCTGATAGATGATTGCGACAACTACGACCATAGGTTCAGGTCAGCTCATCACTAAAAAAAGATATAATTACAGTTGATTTATACATAAAAAATAAATGACAAACAATGAAAAACAAATCTGTCTAACAATAGAATGATACATGAATAAAAATTCGTGCTACAGTTCTCGATAAGTAATTTGAATCTCGATATTATAATTTATTGTATTTTAAATTATAATGTGTGTCATATCTTCATCAAATCGCCTTGGTACGTGGAAGCTGCAACCCCAGAACCCAAGGATGTTGTTATTGTAATTGACACAAGTGGATCTATGTCTGATCTGCAATCTGGCAAAAGCCTAATAGCCATAGCAATAGATGCTTCCATCACAGTTCTAGATACTATGAATCCCAATGATAAGGTAAATGCTTTATATTATGGTAATACAATTTAATATTTGCTAGTCTATCTGTGACAATATATGTTCACATCTTTGTCATATTATATAACGTCTCTTTGTGATTGGTGCGTTTCTCTCTTGTTCCTTATCAGGTTGGGGTGGTAGCATTTTCCAGTATTGTGAAATTGCCGCCTATGATCGGAGACACCAGCTGTTATGCAAATGAACTGGCATTATCTACTACAATCAATATACAGAATTTAAAGAAATTCGTACTATCTTTGACGGCTTCGGGTGAAACTTCATTAATATTTGTGATCATTACGTAATGTACGTTAACAATTTCTTTAGTTGACATTACCTCACACTTATATTATGGTATATCAATTTATTCAACATATAGGGGGAACAAATTACGGTAAAGCATTTGAAGCAGCGTTTAACTTACTGAAAGCGTCGTACACACCAGATGTAGACATCGAACGAGGTAGGTAGAGCTCATACATTATATGGAGTCTACATCTAAACCAACAAAAATCAGCACAGAAGAACAAGTGATAACTAATCTGTAAATAAACTGTTTACGTCATTTCCGATTATACCATTTGACGGGCTTATTTGTTATTCTAGTAGTTACTCATGGTTTGTTAAATATTTCAACAATCTCTTTCGCAATTCATACTTATCATTGAAAAATGATACTTTCTCCGAAACATCCGGTTATATTGAATAATTACCAAGAACTATGATTACTTACTACCCCTTTCTATATACTATAATTATCGCCAACAGCAGCTTTCACAAATTGTTAAATTCACCTCTAGACACATTGTGATTTGTTATTCTCTAACCATTAGTGATAGTACCTAGTTTGTACTCATGTTCCTTCTAGCATCTGTGACGTTCCTGAAACATCGAGTAAAAGCTAAATGTTACTGTAACAAATAGTCGAGCAGTATGTATACTAATATGTAATTGGGAAATAGATATTTCATATTTCAATTCAAATTAATTTCATCTGTAGACCAAGTCATCATTTTTTTGACCGACGGTGAGCCCACAGACACCAAGGCAAGCATCATGAGTACAATCCGTTCAAAGAATGAAGAAATGGAGAACAAAGTGACCATTTTGACCTTTGGTCTTGGTTCCGGTAAGATCTACAGGAAATTTAGCTCATTACACAACTATTGGTCATGTAACCTTGTGACGTTTTGACTATAGTTTGTAAGTCACTATGCTGATTATTAAACTGTCATAGCCTATTTATGTATTTGTGTGCATATATTATTCATCGTAGAGTATTATATTGAAATAAATTGCAATAAATGCATTCGCGTGTAGATCATTAAAATGTCAATGGTCACAGTTTCATTTACATGAAGATTACTTTGTGATTTTTTTTTTGATTTTTCATAGATTCTGGGATAAATTTTCTGCAGGATATTGCAAATCAAAACTTTGTAAAACATGGAGTTGAGGAAGCAAATATTAGCATTGGAGAAACTAAGGTTATTACATAAACATAACATAACAAACAAACAGTTAAAACACAAAGGTGTTAATAAATACTATCATATATCATTCTACTATTCTGTTTTAAACTTTTTTCAGCAAGGTGTATTTACTCACGTGACTGATTACAATTTATTGCGCAGTAAAATGGCTAGATATTATGATTATTTTGCAAACTTTGATAAGCTGACTGACGAGCCCATATTTTCAGTTCCATACCAAGATAGTTTTGGACTTGGTAAGTGCAGAAGAAACCTTTGTTAAAAGTTCTAATTTATTTTAACATACTAGGTATTTCAATCAAAACTGAACCGATTTTTTTTTTTAATTAAACATGATATTCCTATTTGTTTGTAGGAATGATGACAACCGCAGCAGTGCCTGTGAAATATAACCATGTACTTAAGGGAGTAGTGGGTGTTGACATAACCTTGACAGACCTATTAGAAGAAGTCACCTTTTTTACAGGAGGGCAGAATTCGTACGCACTTGTGTTTGAAGTCGACACTTACGCAATCGGTCAGTATCGACTAAATCAGTATGATATAATTTCTTAATACGAACTTGCAATAATTGTTGAAATTCCTAGACATTCCTAGTGGTGTTCATAATCAATTTAGGTAAATAAAACAATGGACATAAGATATACGTTGCTAAACCAGTAAAAAAACTATATATGAAATAAACTGTCTGCTCCAATATTTAACAAACAGGAAGTAGTGTATACAGGGAAGTCGCATCGAATAATTTGCATCCGACATTCTCTGATATGTTGACATTGCAAGTAAAACATTTAATTTTGTCATTCGTATTATCTAGCATGTTTTATTTTATATATTTGCAGGACGTACATTGCTTCATCCATTGTTACCGTCACCGTTAGTCATCGAAGACGAACCAGTATATGTGCATATTACTTCACTGGAAAGAGAACAAGAGTTTTACGACCGTGTGTACAATTATGCAACAAAGTGAGTTAATCCTTCCAGAGAACTAAAGCACATATCGGTGATGGTCAAGCGAATGACCTAAAACAAGTTTCCCTTTTTAATTTCTCTGTTGTATTTTTCATATCAGTGATGGGACATTCGGAAACGCGACATTTACTTCACGACGATATATTTCACGAGGAAACCAAAGAACAGAAGGTGTCAACAAAATGTCCGTACTATCCACATATCACTGGCGACGTGTGAGTATGCGTACCCATCACCAAAATTCATTTATATATACTTTATTCATATAAAACATGTTTTAGCAAGCGTATAATCGACATGTCTGCATGAAATATAATCTACATACAAGAACAAATTACGCGTTTTCCTAGCATAATGATTGGGATACTTTATCATAATACATGTAACTATTAATAATTTTTTTCCAACTTTTTAGCATGTTACACATGCAATGTTACACTGGCGATATGTTTCAAACAATATTTGATTAAGTGCGGTATTTCTCACATACACCAGTTATTGATTTACAGGTTATCGGTTCCAACTATATTGTATGTCTCGTTGAAGCTGTTGATTTCGACGTAGTCGAGCTGTTCGGACAGGGTCCCAAAGCGTCTGGTAAGATGTTAATTTTCCTGTCAAATATCTTGTTTCCGTGTAACATTTCCTTATTTTTGCCGGTTTTTGCAAATTATCACACACAAACTTTAACTTTATTTTCTTGAAGAAAATAGCAAATTTGTATGGTGCCTAACTTGCTTAGAGTGTACACTGGTATAGTTTAGTACATTTGGGCAGTACATGTATATAATATTCATGTGGCGTTAATTTAGGTTTTTCCGCTATCAAAGTGACATTAGAGGTTGAATAGTTGTGGTCATTGCTCTGCGTCGAATACGATAAATGGATTCTAATCGATGTGTACAACACATGTAAAAAATTTTGTCTGTTTACAGAAAATTCGACCGTGTGCCGCTCGACGACCACTGCGCTTATAAAATATAAAATACATTAAAATTATGGTGATTACCAGGCTGTCCCAAAAAGGTAGCAAAATCACGGAAGTGACATTGATTTGTGTCCTATATACAATCTTTGGCCTTAAAAATGCCTCTATATGTACAATTTATTTGACTTGTATCTTTGACTTTCAGCTGATGACTTTGTGTATCATCGTCTTGATATAGTACCACCAGATACTTCATGCAAATATGTAAACAGATTAGCCACTAAAGGTATGTTATTTAGCTAATTGGGTTTGTCATGTTGTCCATTATTATAAGACATTTATTCATCCAGGATTATTATAATATCTGTATGATCGATGTTCTTATGTATTTTTTAACCGTGTGGCATTCTAGTCTGCGAAACTATAATGTGGACTGTGTGAATACAATTTTCGAAAACTACGAAATGAATGTACCTAATAAAATAATCTTGTTCTTGCTTTTGTCTCATAGCTACTTTTAACAGATTCGACTCTGTGGGGTCCCTTCCCTGAGTAATATTATTACAATATATTTATACTAATAATACTATAAACACTTATAATATTTCTGCCAATGTAGAAAACAATTAAATTCAAATGAACTTATGTGAATTGTTATCTTCAAATAAGAGACATGATTTGGGATATTAAGTGACCAGCAGGGCATACAATTGTGAAACAAATTAAAGTCGACCTTTCCATTTTTATACAGAGCAGTCGACTGTTAAGTTTGCACCAAGAGCTTTTAGTAGTCCGGCTCAATACCTTCAATATGAAGAAACAGAATCTATTGTAGAACAGTACCAAAACTACATGATGGATGCATCGTCTATAAATACGCATTTTAAGGTACAGTTCACAATGTCTTATGTTGAACGTAATTAGTTTTACGTAATACGGCATGCTTATACATTAGTTGTCTACGACAATTGACCTGGAAAGAAATCAAAATGTATAGGTACTAAACAATCAACAAGAACCTCAAAGTCCATTCTTTGTGTATGTCTATGTTTGTTCTTTGTGAAGTAACCACTTCCATTATAATGGTGAGAATGTATTCGTTTCACAGGATAGGGTGCGTGACGCTGTAATAGTAACTGCTAAAGTAAATGAAATTTGGAAGAGTGAAGATGCTGATATGTATAAGCACTACACACTATTTCGGTACATGGGAACAAGGAATGGCGTGTACCGACAGTTACCTGGGATTACGATGAGCAAAGTACACGACACTACAGTGAGACCCTGGTAGGTAGTCTGCATATGAAACATTCACATTAATCAAGTGTTGTGATTTAAATATATACTGAGATCACGTAAATAATTATTTCTCTGACAGGTACGAAAGAGCAAAAAGCAATGCAGATATACTTACATTGTCAGTGCCATACGCAGACGCTAATGGGGCTGGTGAGGTTATAGCATTGAGCAAAGCAATCACTGAAAGGTGGGTAGAACTATCTCTATTTTTGCATTTTCTCGGAGTAATTGCAGTCAAGTGAAATAACACAATACCATGTTATTTATAACGTTGTTTTTCTTCATTGTAGTTTAAGTTCAACTTCGACGTCATCTAATGTGCTAGCTGTTATGGGTATGGATTTCACGATATCATATTTCTACAATATGCTGACTAAGCACTACCCGGAATGTGAAGAGTTCAGCAACAGGTTTTTACTTTAGCAAATGTTTTCCAAAACTTAAAATCAGAGAGAGATTTATGATAAAATACATATAAAACATTTTTTAATAATTTACATATTTTAGTTTGTACTTCAATCAGCCCTATCATTTCTGTTTTACTCATGTTTCAGATAGCTGTTTTATCAGCCCGTACAATGGAGACTACAAATTATTATAGTAATTTTGATTTGTTGAATTATATGAATAAGTTGTATTTTGTTACTAAAATATACAAAGAAAAATGTTTTGGCAAAAATGAAATCATGATGGATGTACATGAGAACTGACACTCATAAAACCATTATGTCAAGTCACTAACTAACATTTTGAACAAATACTGACTTTGTTCCATTGGATATCTTGACGAATCATTCGAATGAAAGTAAACTCAATTTTAAACAAACCTGGATAATCCTATTATTTGATATTTAATGAGTGTTTATTTATGTACTGAGTTGGTATAACAAGGGCCTAAATATAACAGTATAAGTATTTGTTTCTGCACTTTTAGTTGCTTTGTGATGGACAGTAGTGGATTTTTAGTTATACATCGAGATTTCACCGAGTCTGATTCTGACGTGAGTGATATCCATATCATGGAAAAGGAGCCGAATGTTGCGGAGGACTTGTTGGAGAAAAGGATTCTTAAAAAAAAACAGTGTGTGGATTTTCAGAAGATTAAAAACCTGAATTACTATATAGTAAGTCAATCTTATAAGGGAAAAATGGAAAACGAAAAATAAAGAAAAATTATGCAGATAAAACGAAAAAAAAACATAAAAAATTAAATTAATAATAAACCCGCATCATATTAATATGCGTCTGTACTACAACCCGGACCTTTATTTTAACAGTTGTCATTGCATGTTGTTTTTTCAAGGCAGAGCGTGTGGGGTCAACAGCGACTATTGATAATATGAACAATGCAAATAAGTGTAAACGTTACAGACTTGCCCATGTACAAGATACAAACGTCTACCTGGGTATTGTATACAAGGCTACAGGATGTAACCAACACTGCCCATGTTATTATGTAAGTAAATATGACATCTGTTTCCCTGAAATAAACAGTGAACAGTGTTTTCTGGAAAAAAACATTCCTTTGTACAAGAATTGTTTGTAGCTATTTTGAGTTCAAGTACTATTTCAAAGGTAGTAAGTAATTACATCCGTTTGGCGTCACTGTTATATAATAATGCGAATGCAATAAAACCTCATGTACACGCAATTTATTGAGTGGTACATATTTACTTATTTTTTTCCCTTTAATTGTGACCTTTACCGAAGGACCATTGCGACCCTCATATAGGGTAAATGTGCTCACAACAAATGCAATATTAACTTTTCTAATGTTATATTTTCTAACCAGGAAACCTGTATGCATACATCTGCAGACAATGAATGTGAATGCCCATGTTTATCACCAACAGAATACGAATATTGTAAGGACCAATTTTCATTCACGAGGTAAGAACGAAACATACAATACACTTTTTCTTTTACCATTGTAGACACAAAAACAACAAGTTGTTGCCACTTTTTCAGTCAAATTGACGCTATTTTATTGAACAATTTCTAAAAACAAACACTTACATCCATGGATGTTGTAAAATTATTTAAATTGTATGTCGAATAATCTCAATCAAAATAAATAAATTATATTTATGGTGTCCCCCTCTCAGTGATGATGATCCAACTTGTCTACCCCCAAGACCATCAATATCTCCAGTTATTGAAGATACCGATGCTTATACGGGTTTAGGTGAATGCTATAACGCAAACTGTACAAGTAAACAAGCTGCAAGGTGAGACTGTTTTAGAAAGGTGCTAATAACTTGTAGTATAGACATAACAGAGTATACAGTAGACATACTAATAACATAATATAGATAGATTCATATGACAATTTATTTATGAGGCGATTTTTATATTAATTACAGTGAATGTAACGCATATGTCAGTTGCAAGTGGAATAAAGAAAACGGCGCATGTGTAAACATGTTTTTAACAATTGGTACGTATTATGTTAACAACTGCGTTGGTGACCAGTCGATACTCACTGATAAGTCATGCCATTAGTACGCACACGTTTTGACTGTATGTATTACATTATTAATAAAATAATCTTCCTTGTAATTTCAGATGATGACGCTTCTAATAATTCGTCAATAGTCATTATTGTCATTATTGTCATTGTGTTGATACTTGTGGTTATCGTGTTTTCAATTATACTGGTACTCAAGTTTAAACCTGGGCGACAAAAATCGTACAGCGATAACAATGCCGACACAGTGATAACATATGACAATAGAGCTGCTGCTGCAAGTGCCCCTCCGATTGTGCCCCAAGATGCGGCTCTTCAACAGGTCCCAGTAAACCCATACTACACAGAAATGCATGGTGACAATCAAGGCTATTTAGTTTCCCAGCAACAACCACCGCCGCAAGCTTTTCAACCGATGAATATATAAGATGGGAATCCTTACGTTTACGTCCTATACCACTCAATGTGTTATCCTAACAATACATTATACTTCTATTCTGTAGTGCAATCGGTATATATAGGATTCATTGATATTTTATTGTATATTCAGTATATATGTATATTCAGTTTTCATGTACACAGTGACGTCATTAATGAAAAAGCATGGGGGAAAGAAGTTAAACATTTATCTGTGATTCAGACATAATGTACTAAGCATGCTACTGTAACAATCCATACATCACATAGGTGAATGCAGTAGTGCATATGCCGTAGCAATAATATTTGTCCATGGGACTAAATGCAGGTCAATTGCGCCGACAGTTTAATACCGTACGCGTTTTTTATCATAATGGGTATACTAGTATTCATTTTGTAATAATATTCTGTATTTCAAAACTTTCCGTGAAGTGTAATGAAAGTTAATAACATCGACTTCACTGGCAATACTGTAAAAATTAGATTCATCATTACATTTTGTCTGGGAATTGTGTGAATTCTGTGCTATATTTGTCTAAATACATATTTTGATTTGTTTACCTTACCCGAATTCTGAATGAAGGGATATATATATTGTATATACGAGGGGAAAATGTGTAGTCTTGTTTTGTTTGGTTTTTAACAATACTTTTTTTTGAACATGTATATTATCAACCAGTTTGGGTGTTGACACGTATTTGCGTAGTTTGGTGTACAGTTTGCCAATATGCTGCTATTTGGGAACTTTTATACAATTCAGTATTAAAATACAAGTTTTTTTTATATTCGGATTAATACTGTACAAGTAGCATTATATGAAAAACAGAAAATTAGTTCATTTATATGTAATTGCTGATAGCATCGTTGAAATTAATCATTTTTAGTCTGAAATTATGCTAATTAAAACCAGCTTTTACAATACCTTTACTTTTGTCTTCTTATTGATGTTACATTTTTTTCTTCGATGTTAGCCTGTCAAATATTTAGTATTATTATACATATGTCACCGTAACGCCATAAGTTACAGAGTTACAAAGTTGGAAGGAAAATATGTATAATAATAAGGTTATTATCCACCTCCGCTGCACGTCGGTCGATACTCCAGCTGCACTGTCTTCGTGCATACTTTGACGTATTCTCGTAATAATCTCATATTATATTATACTAGTATTTTAATGGTGTTAATCCGTTGATTTGATTGGTCCAAACACAATATTTGCATATGTAATTACAGGTATATTGGCTGATAATGCATAGTTACATTGAACAAAGTGGCCCTGGAACATGAATTGACTACACGTCTAATGCGGAAATGCATAAAGCCGGTAGTATTTGACTTTTATGGAAATATGGTGGTTGAATTTTGGAAAAAGTACCGAATTAAAAACATCTGAAAAATTATATAACCCTAATATTGATTTTTGTTAATGGCGGGATCGAAGTTGTGAGGAGTCCGTCGTTGGGTGATCGTTGTTCGTCACACAAACCTAAACGAACACCGCTAGAATGTTGTGTTTTCTTGTAAAACATGTCTTGTCCTCCGTGTTGTGACTTTCCAACTAAGAAAACATAATTTGTAAGTTTAACTGTTGACCGACTACACGAGATTGAGGGATTCAAGAACGAAAAAATGCAAAAAAAACTACGAGGCACAGGCGAAAATGTATGTCGCCAATAAAAACCGGTGTCCCGTAACGGCGGTCGAATTATGCCTGAAAAAATTTCACCCGGGTAATTGCCATCTGTTTCAAAGACCAATGGATAACGCAGAAATCGACGACGATATATGGTATTGTAATTTTCCACTGGTTGGTGAACATATTAAGGGAGATGATGATGGTAATTTCGAAATCTGAAGATTTGTCCCGACTGTACACCAACCACTGTATCGACTGTGTGCAGTCCTTGATTCGGCCAGATTTGAGACGAGGCATATCATGTACGTGTTCTGTCATCCGATCATCCGATTTTCTTACCTCAGAACAACGACAAAACTTGTCGGGCATACATACTGTCACAAAAGCTTGGTTATACCAAAGATGTATCCAGATCAGATGTTGGGTCTGAGATGGCCGTGCCGTTTACCGTACGTGATACACCACCGCGTCCCACCATGTCTGAAACTCTGGTCGAACGAAGTGCCACTGAACGTCAAATATCAAACATCCGGTTTGTTTCACAACTGTACTTTAATGAGGCTGATTACAGCCCAAATTGTAAAGAAACCGGAATGAAAACTTGTTTTACTAGTTAGCAATAACCCCTGGTCGAAGTTGGGTATACCACACGATATGGCACAATTCACTCCACTCCAACTGATTGTACAGGATATTAATTGTAAATGTTTTACCCAAACATGAAATTGTCTTTATTCGTTTCTCTGACACCTTGCCATATTTGCCCATGAAATTGTTTATGGATACAGTTCACAATTATAATGTGCAGAGTGTGTGCAGTCGCCTTTTTCTAAAATGTAATGGAAAAAACGGACTTTAAACTAAATAAAACTGTAAGTTTATATGGCAATATGCATGACAAAACAGTCAACAATTCTAGTACACCGAGCTTGCAGTAAAATCGATGATATGATACGTAAATGAACAAGTCAAGTATTTTATATAATTGTAACGAGTTTGGTAGATTTTGTATCACAAACCGAAAAAGCGAATCTCTTGAGTAATTGACGTATAATTTACCAAATGAGTTCTTTATCATACAGCGTGATTGATTAAGAACAGAATATTAGCAACATTTTACAAACAAATAATTATCTGTTACAACTAATTTTGCAGCGTGTTTGCGTCAGTGTATTGCTTTCTTCGAAGCATGTTCTGTCTGGTCGACTACATTCCTTGTCAATGTGGTGAAGAATTCAAAGATAGTGTTCACGAATTAGATTCGGTCAAGGATGAAGTTGCGTTGAGTTATCTCGAAAACATACTATTGGGAAAACGTTGACACTAACTATCAATGTTTGTCTCATAGATGTAATAAAAATAACTTTCGAAATTACTGTGGGCCGAGTCCAGGCTGACATCAAACAAGTTTTCTATGAATCTTTCTGTGAACATTGTTGTGTAACACAAGAACGTTACTGAATGATTCACTTTACGGCCACGATTTGCTGATGTCACCTTTACAGAAAAATCCATAATGTCGCAGGAGTCGTGTTATCGATTAAGGCAAGTTAGATACATGAAGATTTACCGATCTACTGGGTTAACCTCATGTTACATATATTTTTAACAAATATATTTTAAATCTAATGTCACAATTGAATGCATGTTATATTTATTTTGAACACGTTTTTAATTTATGCAATATTTAGTAAAATTTTAGTAAAATATAACTTTGAAACCAGGACATTACGAATCGTAGCGCCAATGTCATGCGATGTACATCGGCTGTGGCGACTTTATAAGAATGGTTTGGATGATCAGACAAAGCGTATGAGATCATAATTTAACTGTGTGAACTTTCTCAACTCTGCAATCAACTGGAATGTCAATTTCTCAAATGGAAAGCACATATATGAAAGCCGAGTCCAATGCAGTTTTGCTTGTTGGAATTCCGCAAGGGAATTGGTCATAGTGTTCTGAACTCAACGACATTGTACATTTATTTCATTTATATTTCAATACACATGGTATGTATCATTGCCATGTATATTTTGTTGCTATAAATAAATGAGTTTGCTATGTGAGCATCCGGGTCTCCAAGATTATTCGTGGACACTCAGAATTGTATTTGAATTTTATTGTCTTACACTTGGAAGCATCATGAAGACGACGCAACGTCACTATGGTTATTTGGTATTTTTATAACAATTCAGTTCATCAAAATTGTCCTTTTTCTAATAGAATTCGTAGAGAACCTAGGCAGTCGCTATCCCTGCATTTGAACGCGGCCAAATGTGCCATCACATATTTAAAAAAAAAATATATTCAAATGGTCAGTTTTCAGAGATATGGCGCTTAAGTTTTGAACTTTGAATATATGCGTAGAATTCAAGTTTGTGTGGTTTAATAGACTGTGTATGTCACAAATGTCTTTTACCTCCATGAATGGACCTAGATGAGTGAGTGCAAATTATTATTAGATTAAAATGAGATACTGTTTCATCGCTCATTAACAATTATAATAATTGAATTTATTTATTACGAATCCCAGCAGACTGTTTGAAATGTACTTGCCAGTTATTCACTTGTACTGAATGTGTATTTCTACAAATACATTATTTTATGCAGCTGGCCGGCCTGTAATAATATTGTAATAATATGTATAATATTTAATTATATTTGTGGCAATAAACGGCTAAAACCTGTTGACGTTATAAATATATAATATGAATTTAAATAAAAATGGCTTTAAGATATCAAATTGACCAATTAATATTGTAACATCCTAAGTTCTGAATAATGAGTTAGTTCAGCGTCATCCATTTATTATGTACAATCATGAAGCTAATGTCCCATGGTACAATGAAATTATTTGGTGTGTTACAGTTGAGCTTTTTGAGAAACGTGTCCTATTTTTAGAACAATTCCACAGAACACAATGTTAAAGAAAAATTGCATTTTTGACACTTTTTAAAACCCAGATTCTTTAAATAATTCAGTAAAGCAAAAAGTACTCCATCATTAACAATATATGATTTTGTCAGCTTATGTCGCCAGGCTGGATGTTATACCTGTGGTAAAAGTGTTATAATAGTGTCAAAATGGCGACTTTCCAATAAAGTCATCAATTTCTCGAAAAAAGGCTGGTGACCCCCAACTTGTTTTAGGCTAATATCCTTATATTGCCTTGGTGTAAAGTTTATTGCAAAATGAATAAATTCCGGCTTTTTTTATGAGTAGGCTTCTACCTTAAGCGATTTTTGTTTAATAAGCGGGCGGTCGCAGCTGCTGTGTCATCTGCGGGTTTGCGTGCGCATTAAGGAGGTAGACAATGTCGATCTATTGAGCCAATTACTGTTAAATATTTGAATGAAAGCTGAGAAATAGTAGT